CGAATCGTTAATATACTAGCCCTGGTTAAGAGGCCACCCTGGATGGTCATGGCCTCGTTGTGTCCTCATCTGACCTCCACGTATCTATCATATTATACCCGTTACTTTGAATCTGAAATCAAAATACACTTTTTGAAAGACGTTCTCGAATTTCAGTGAATACTTATTTCTGGCAGTTTAACTTACACGGGTTTATATCAGGCTAGTGACAGTCGTACAGTTAACTGTACCACCGCTTATAATGTTAGAATATATATGTCATTAATGGTAAAAGCAGTGAGGGTGAGGAGGGATTATTATTATCTAAATTCAAGCACTAAACCCACCAGGACAGAGGGGCGGGCGGACCTCTGTAATGTCCCGTCTAGGGCCCCTAAACTATTACTCAATCTTATAGTTATGCTTGGAATAAGATATACAAGTACCACAAGGTACTAAGTTACGTGTAGCCAGCTGTACAGTCTGGTTGATCAGACCGTGATCCCCTACCAGGCCTGGTCACAGACCGGGCCTCGGGGGCGTTGACCCCCAAAACCCTATCCAGGTAAATTATTCTGTATGATAATTGCACTTATGTATTCCTGTACCATTTAGGTACAGGAATACGTAAGTGCTATTGTCTACTTTACACGTATCCTTCAGACATGGCCTTCTGGAACGAGCGGATGCAGGCTGAGCTTCGAACTCAGTTAGAGAAGACTGAGATCGTAAGTCAGGCGAAGAATATCATCTTCTTCCTGGGTGATGGGACGTCCATATCCACCCTGACGGCAGCCAGGTACCTCAAGGGTCTCCGAACAGGGAACTTTGAACACGAGGTCATGGCTTACGAAAAGTTCCCTTATTCGACCCTCATTAAGGTACGTTGGAAGTGGTTTAAAGACTAGTTGAAGAGTTAGGTTGGGTCGCATCCTGGGACAAAACTGACCTAATTCGTCCGAAATGCTCTGCATAACAAAGGGCTTCTATATATTTGTATTATGCGGCCCATACCCGTGGTGTGGGTGGTAGTCAAAAAGATTCCAGAGGTACATAATGGGTCCAAGGACTGTATATCAACACTACAGAGGTACATAATGGTTCCAGGGACTGTATATCAACATTACAGAGGTACATAATGGGTCCAGGGACTGTATATCAACATTACAGAGGTACACAATGGTTCCAGGGACTGTATATCAACATTACAGAGGTACATAATGGGTCCAGGGACTGTATATCAACATTACAGAGGTACATAATGGGTCCAGGGACTGTATATCAACATTACAGAGGTACATAATGGGTCCAGGGACTGTATATCAACATTACAGAGGTACACAATGGTTCCAGGGACTGTATATCAACATTACAGAGGTACATAATGGGTCCAGGGACTGTATATCAACATTACAGAGGTACATAATGGGTCCAGGGACTGTATATCAACATTACAGAGGTACATAATGGTTCCAGGGACTGTATATCAACATTACAGAGGTACACAATGGTTCCAGGGACTGTACCTCAACATTACAGAGGTACATAATGGGTCCAGGGACTGTATATCAACATTACAGAGGTACATAATGGTTCCAGGGACTGTACCTCAACATTACAGACGTACATAATAGGTCCAGATACGAAGCCTGGTCACAGGCTGGGCCGCGGGGGCGTTGACCCCCGAAACACCCTCCAGGTATACTCCAGGTAGTGTATTGATAAAGCCACTAGTGGGCAAAACGTCTTGTAGCTCATAAACCGAGGTTCCTGGTTCGATCCCCGGTATGGGTAGAAGCATTAGGACGTGTCTCCTTAAGACACCTGCTGTCCCTGCTTACCTAGCAGTAAGTAGGTACCTGGGTGTTAGTCACCTTACAGCTGCTGTCACTGTTCATCTAGCAGTAAGTAGGTACCTGGGTGTTAGTTACACCTCGTGTATGGGACCTAATGTAGGGAGGGGAACAAAGTAATGAGGGAGGGGAACAAAGTAATGAGGGAGGGGAACAAAGTAATGAGGGAGGGAAAAAAAGTAATGAGGGAGGGGAACAAAGTAATGAGGGAGGGAAACAAAGTAATGAGGGAAGGGAACAAAGTAATGAGGGAGGGGAACAAAGTAATGAGGGAGGGGAACAAAGTAATGAGGGAGGGAACAAAGTAATGAGGGAGGGGAACAAAGTAATGAGGGAGGGGAACAAAGTAATGAGGGAGGGGAACAAAGTAATGAGGGAGGGGAACAAAGTAATAAGGGAGGGGAACAAAGTAATGAGGGAGGGGAACAAAGTAATAAGGGAGGGGAACAAAGTAATGAGGGAGGGGAACAAAGTAATGAGGGAGGAAACAAAGTAATGAGGGAGGGGAAACAAAGTAATGAGGGAGGGGAACAAAGTAATGAGGGAGGGAACAAAGTAATGAGGGAGGGGAACAAAGTAATGAGGGAGGGGAACAAAGTAATGAGGGAGGGGAACAAAGTTCTAAATGTTAGACAGGACAATAACCATGACACATATAAACTAAATAATGTAGATCTTAATATTACGGATTGTGTAAAGGATTTAGGAGTTCTGGTTAGTAGTAATTTAAAACCAAGACAACAGTACATTAGTGTTGGCAATAAAGTTAACAGAATTCTTGGCTTCATATCTAGAAGTATAAATAATAGAAGTCCTCAGGTTGTTCTTCAACTCTATATATCCTTGGTTAGGCCTACAACAGGAGGCCTGAGGTTAGGCCTCATTTAGACTATGCTGCTCAGTTCTGGTCACAGTATTACAGAATGGATATAAATGTTCTGGAAAACGTACAGAGGAGGATGACAAAGTTGATCCCATGTATCAGAAATCTTCCCTATGAGGATAGACTGAGGCCCTGTCTATCCTATGAGGATACACTGAGGCCCTGTCTATCCTATGAGGATAGTCTGAGGGCCCTGTCTATCCTATGAGGATAGACTGAGGCCCTGTCTATCCTATGAGGATAGTCTGAGGGCCCTGTCTATCCTATGAGGATAGTCTGATGCCCTGTCTATCCTATGAGGATAGTCTGATGCCCTGTCTATCCTATGAGGATAGACTGAGGCCCTGTCTATCCTATGAGGATAGTCTGAGGGCCCTGTCTATCCTATGAGGATAGACTGAGGCCCTGTCTATCCTATGAGGATAGTCTGAGGGCCCTGTCTATCCTATGAGGATAGTTTTGATGCCCTGTCTATCCTATGAGGATAGTCTGATGCCCTGTCTATCCTATGAGGATACATGAGGCCCTGTCTATCCTATGAGGATAACTGAGGGCCCTGTCTATCCTATGAGGAATGACTGAGGCCCTGTCTATCCTATGAGGATAGACTGAGGCCTGTCTATCCTATGAGGATAGACTGAGGCCCTGTCTATCCTATGAGGATAGACTGAGGGCCCTGTCTATCCTATGAGGATACACTGAGGCCCTGTCTATCCTATGAGGATAGACTGAGGGCCCTGTCTATCCTATGAGGATAGACTGAGGCCCTGTCTATCCTATGAGGATAGACTGAGGCCCTGTCTATCCTATGAGGATAGACTGAGGCCCTGTCTATCCTATGAGGATAGACTGAGGGCCCTGTCTATCCTATGAGGATAGACTGAAGGCCCTGTCTATCCTATGAGGATAGACTGAGGCCCTGTCTATCCTATGAGGATAGACTGAGGCCCTGTCTATCCTATGAGGATAGACTGAGGCCCTGTCTATCCTATGAGGATAGACTGAGGGCCCTGTCTATCCTATGAGGATAGACTGAGGCCCTGTCTATCCTATGAGGATAGACTGAGGCCCCGTCTATCCTATGAGGATAGTCTGAGGGCCCTGTCTATCCTATGAGGATAGACTGAGGGCCCTGTCTTTTCCTATGAGGATAGACTGAGGCCCTGTCTATCTATGAGGATAGACTGAGGCCCGTCTATCCTATGAGGATAGACTGAGGCCCTGGTCTATCCTATGAGGATAGACTGAGGCCCTTTTCTATCCTATGAGGATAGACGAGGGCCCTGTCTATCCTATGAGGATAGACTGAGGCCCTGTCTATCCTATGAGGATAGACTGAGGCCCTGTCTATCCTATGAGGATAGTCTGAGGGCCCTGTCTATCCTATGAGGATTAGACTGAGGGCCCTGTCTATCCTATGAGGATAGACTGAGGCCCTGTCTATCCTATGAGGATAGACTGAGGGCCCTGTCTATCCTATGAGGATAGACTGAGGCCCTGTCTATCCTATGAGGATAGACTGAGGCCCTGTCTATCCTATGAGGATAGACTGAGGCCCTGTCTATCCTATGGGGATAGACTGGGGCCCCTGTCTATCCTATGAGGATAGACTGAGGGCCCTGTCTATCCTATGAGGATAGACTGAGGCCCTGTCTATCCTATGAGGATAGACTGAGGCCCTGTCTATCCTATGAGGTAGTCTGAGGGCCCTGTCTATCCTATGAGGATAGACTGAGGGCCCTGTCTATCCTATGAGGATAGACTGAGGCCCTGTCTATCCTATGAGGATAGACTGAGGCCCTGTCTATCCTATGAGGATAGACTGAGGGCCCTGTCTATCCTATGAGGATAGACTGAGGGCCCTGTCTATCCTATGAGGATAGACTGAGGCCCTGTCTATCCTATGAGGATAGACTGAGGCCCTGTCTTTTCCTATGAGGATAGACTGAGGGCCCTGTCTATCCTATGAGGATAGACTGAGGGCCCTGTCTATCCTATGAGGATAGACTGAGGCCCTGTCTATCCTATGAGGATAGACTGAGGCCCTGTCTATCCTATGAGGATAGTCTGAGGCCCTGTCTATCCTATGAGGATAGACTGAGGGCCCTGTCTATCCTATGAGGATAGACTGAGGCCCTGTCTATCCTATGTGGATAGACTGAGGCCTGTCTATCCTATGAGGATAGACTGAGGGCCCTGTCTATCCTATGAGGATAGACTGAGGGCCCTGTCTATCCTATGAGGATAGACTGAGGCCCTGTCTATCCTATGAGGATAGACTGAGGCCCTGTCTATCCTATGAGGATAGACTGAGGGCCCTGTCTATCCTATGAGGATAGACTGAGGCCCTGTCTATCCTATGAGGATAGACTGAGGGCCCTGTCTGTCCTATGAGGATACACTGAGGGCCCTGTCTATCCTATGCGGGTAGACTGAGGCCCTGAATCTGCACTCTCTAGAAAGACGTAGAATTAGGGGTGATATGATTGAGGTGTATAAATGGAAGACAGGAATAAATAAAGGGGATGTAAATAGCGTGCTGAAAATATCTAGCCTAGACAGGACTCGCAGCAATGATTTTAAGTTGGAAAAATTCAGATTCAGGAAGGATATAGGAAAGTTCTGGTTTGGTAATAGAGTTGTGGATGAGTGGAACAAACTCCCGAGTACAGTTATTGAGGCTAAAACGTTGTGTAGTTTTAAAAATAGGTTAGATAAATACATGAGTGGGTGTGAGCTGGACCTGACTAGCTTGTGCTGCTGGGTCTGGAGCAGTGCTCCATCCTTGAGTGGAGGTAACCAGACTGGGTGGGTCATTGGGCTAATCCGGGGGGGGGGGACATGGACCTGCTCCGCATGGGTCAGTAGGCCTGTTGCAGTGTTCCTACTTTCTTATGTTCTTATGTTACTTGGTCTAGGACCCAGGTCACTGCTGAGTCAGGTGATCTGACCTGATGTTTCTCTCCTCGTGTTTGTCTGGTGAAGTTACTGTAACAGTTGTTGGTGACTCCTGTTTACTCTGGTTTAGACTTGGTTATTTGCGCTGTCTCTTATGGGGTCTGTCTTAAGGCGTCTGTCTTAAGGCGTCTGTCTTAAGAGGTCTGTCTTAAGGCGTCTGTCTTAAGGGGTCTGTCTTAAGGCGTCTGTCTTAAGGTGTCTGTCTTAAGGGGTCTGTCTTAAGGCGTCTGTCTTAAGGGGTCTGTCTTAAGGCGTCTGTCTTAAGGGGTCTGTCTTAAGGGGTCTGTCTTAAGGCGTCTGTCTTAAGGTGTCTGTCTTAAGGGGTCTGTCTTAAGGGGTCTGTCTTAAGGTGTCTGTCTTAAGGGGTCTGTCTTAAGGCGTCTGTCTTAAGGGGTCTGTCTTAAGAGGTCTGTCTTAAGGGGTCTGTCTTAAGGCGTCTGTCTTAAGGTGTCTGTCTTAAGGCGTCTGTCTTAAGGCGTCTGTCTTAAGGGGTCTGTCTTAAGGTGTCTGTCTTAAGGGGTCTGTCTTAAGGGGTCTGTCTTAAGGGGTCTGTCTTAAGGGGTCTGTCTTAAGGCGTCTGTCTTAAGGTGTCTGTCTTAAGGAGTCTGTCTTAAGGCGTCTGTCTTAAGGCGTCTGTCTTAAGGTGTCTGTCTTAAGGTGTCTGTCTTAAGGGGTCTGTCTTAAGGCGTCTGTCTTAAGGGGTCTGTCTTAAGGGGTCTGTCTTAAGGCGTCTGTCTTAAGGTGTCTGTCTTAAGGGGTCTGTCTTAAGGGGTCTGTCTTAAGGTGTCTGTCTTAAGGGGTCTGTCTTAAGGCGTCTGTCTTAAGGGGTCTGTCTTAAGAGGTCTGTCTTAAGGGGTCTGTCTTAAGGCGTCTGTCTTAAGGTGTCTGTCTTAAGCGTCTGTCTTAAAGGCGTCTGTCTTAAGGGGTCTGTCTTAAGGTGTCTGTCTTAAGGGGTCTGTCTTAAGGGGTCTGTCTTAAGGGGTCTGTCTTAAGGGGTCTGTCTTAAGGCGTCTGTCTTAAGGTGTCTGTCTTAAGGAGTCTGTCTTAAGGCGTCTGTCTTAAGGCGTCTGTCTTAAGGTGTCTGTCTTAAGGTGTCTGCCTTAAGGTGTCTGCCTTAAGGGGTCTGTCTTAAGGCGTCTGTCTTAAGGTGTCTGTCTTAAGGTGTCTGCCTTAAGGTGTCTGCCTTAAGGCGTCTGTCTTAAGGTGTCTGCCTTAAGGTGTCTGCCTTAAGGTGTCTGTCTTAAGGCGTCTGTCTTAAGGGATCTGTTTATCAGACATTCTAAGTATGTCAATTTCCTGAACTATAGAACAAAGGTATTAATGTTTGAGTACAACTACGGTAAGACGTACATTGTAATAATCTCTGTTGAGCCAAGATTCGGTAGTCTATAGAATGGCCGATATTTACGGTCACTAATCAGTAACAAACACGTAACAGTATATACACCTCGTGTACTGTATATACCATCTTTATATCAGCAAATATATATAAATAAATAATATATATATATAAAATATATATATATTTATATATATATATATATATATATATATTTAATATATATATATATATATATCCCATTTACGAGCCGAGCCTACTAACCACTATCCACTAGCTTGTAGAGTGCGTCCCAGGTAAGAAATACACACGATAGCTAACCGGATGCTGACTTCCGCTGCAGACATACAGCGCAGACAAGATGGTGACAGATTCTGCTGCCAGCGCCACAGCTTACCTCAGCGGTGTCAAAGGTAACCAGCAGACCATCGGTGTGGACGTTAATGTTCAGCTGGCCGACTGTGATGCTATGAACATTCCACAGTTCCATACACACTCTATTCTTAGGAATTTCCAGGTATGTGGTGGCTGGGAAGTTCCAGGTATGTGGTGGCTGGGAAGTTCCAGGTACGTGGTGGCTGGGAAGTTCCAGGTATGTGGGGGCTGGGAAGTTCCAGGTATGTGGTGGCGTGGGGAAATTCCAGGGACGTGGTGGCTGGGAAGTTCCAGGGATGTGGTGGCTGGAATTTTCCAGGTAGTGGTGGCTGGGAAGTTCCAGGTATGTGGTGGCTGGGAAGTTCCAGGTACGTGGTGGCTGGGAAGTTCCAGGTATGTGGTGGCTGGGAAGTTCCAGGTATGTGGTGGCTGGGAAGTTCCAGGTATGTGGTGGCTGGGAAGTTCCAGGTATGTGGTGGCTGGGAAGTTCCAGGTATGTGGTGGCTGGGAAGTTCCGGGTATTGGTGGCTGGAAGTTCCGGGTATGTGGTGCTGGGAAGTTCCAGGTATGTGGTGGCTGGAAGTTCCAGGTATGTGGTGGCTGGGAAGTTCCAGGTATGTGGTGGCTGGGAAGTTCCAGGTACGTGCTCTAGCCAGTCATGTTTATTTTTATAAGTAATATTAAGGGTAAAATGAATAGTGTAATGAGTAATGTAATGAGTAATGTCACTCTGGGAGTGAGTATATTCATTGTGTGGTGTCCACAGGACGCTGGACGCTCTACTGGCATTGTTACCGTGACCAGAGTCACTCATGCCTCGCCTGCTGGTACTTACGCCCACACTGCTGAGAGGTGAGTCAGGACTGGTTAATGGTGGTTAGTCAGGACTGGTTAATGGTGGTTAGTCAGGACTGGTTAATGGTGGTGAGTCAGGACTGGTTAATGGTGGTGAGTCAGGACTGGTTAATGGTGGTGAGTCAGGGTTGGTTAATGGTGGTTAGTCAGGACTGGTTAATGGTGGTGAGTCAGGACTGGTTAATGGTGGTGAGTCAGGACTGGTTAATGGTGGTTAGTCAGGACTGGTTAATGGTGGTGAGTCAGGGCTGGTTAATGGTGGTGAGTCAGGACTGGTTAATGGTGGTTAGTCAGGACTGGTTAATGGTGGTGAGTCAGGGCTGGTTAATGGTGGTGAGTCAGGACTGGTTAATGGTGGTTAGTCAGGACTGGTTAATGGTGGTGAGTCAGGGTTGGTTAATGGTGGTGAGTCAGGGCTAGTTAATGGTAGTGAGTCAGGGCTAGTTAATGGTAGTGAGTCAGGGCTAGTTAATGGTAGTGAGTCAGGGCTAGTTAATGGTGGTGAGTCAGGACTGGTTAATGGTGGTTAGTCAGGACTGGTTAATGGTGGTGAGTCAAGGCTGGTTAATGGTGGTGAGTCAGGGCTGGTTAATGGTGGTGAGTCAGAACTAGTTAATGGTGGTGAGCCAGGACTGGTTAATGGTGGTGAGTCAGGACTAGTTAATGGTGGTGAGTCAGGACTGGTTAATGGTGGTGAGTCAGGACTGGTTAATGGTAGTGAGTCAGGGCTAGTTAATGGTAGTGAGTCAGGGCTAGTTAATGGTAGTGAGTCAGGGCTAGTTAATGGTAGTGAGTCAGGACTGGTTAATGGTAGTGAGTCAGGACTGGTTAATGGTGGTGAGTCAGGACTGGTTAATGGTAGTGAGTCAGGGCTAGTTAATGGTAGTGAGTCAGGGCTAGTTAATGGTAGTGAGTCAGGGCTAGTTAATGGTAGTGAGTCAGGACTGGTTAATGGTAGTGAGTCAGGACTGGTTAATGGTGGTGAGTCAGGGCTAGTTAATGGTAGTGAGTCAGGGCTAGTTAATGGTAGTGAGGGCTAGTTAATGGTAGTGAGTCAGGACTGGTTAATGGTTAGTCAGGGTGTGATAGTCACCAGGAAAAACCGTGAGTCAACACAGAGAGTAAAGGGAGTTTGACTAAAAGTCGTTCCAAGGTGGTAACAGCACTGTAGTGAGGTCGTGCTAGAGGTTGAGAGGTCGTGTCGTCCCCCGCAGGCACTGGGAGAGTGACGACGACATCAACGACGATGGTGGCGACCCTGACCTCTGTGACGACATCGCAGAACAACTGGTGCTGGGAGACACAGGTTCCAAAATCAAGGTACGACAACTGCAAGATAGGTATGATAACTGCAAGACATGTATAATAACTGCGAGACAGGTGTGATAACTGCAAGACAGATACGACAATTGTAAGTCATGTACGATAATTGCAAGACAAGAGGCATGCGTGACAATTGCAAGACAGGAGACATGTACGACATCTGCAAGACAGGAGACATGTACGACATCTGCAAGACAGGAGACATGTACGACATCTGCAAGACAGGAGACATGTACGACAATCTGCAAGAAGGAGAACATGTACGACATCTGCAAGACAGGAGACATGTACGACATCTGCAAGACAGGAGACATGTACGACATCTGCAAGACAGGAGACATGTACGACATCTGCAAGACAGGAGACATGGAATTTACGTTCTGCCATGATGTACGATAACTGCAAGACAGGTATGACAGCTACAAAGCAGGTACGACAACTGCGAGACAGAAGGCATGTACGACAATTGCAAGACAGGTGTAACAGCTACAAAGCAGGTACGACAACTGCGAGACAGAAGGCATGTACGACAACTGCAAGACAGGTGTGACAGCTACAAAGCAGGTACGACAACTGCGAGACAGAAGACATGTACGACAACTGCAAGACAGAAGGCATGTACGACAACAGCAAGGCAGGTGTGTCAGCTACAAAGCAGGTACGACAACTGCCAGACAGAAGACATGTACGACAACTGCAAGGCAGGTGTGACAGCTACAAAGCAGGTACGACAACTGCAAGACAAGGTGATGCCTGTGAGAGGAGGAGAGGGCTCTTGATATCATAATTATTCTATTATATAATTTGGTTTATAATAAGAAACATCCGGCTCTTCCTTTGGTTAAATATTTCTAAATTTATCCGATGTCAAAATCCAACATTTTGTCAATTTACTAAATAATAAAGTGTGCGATAACCTCTACATAACCGGCATCAAGGTTTGTCAATGGATGGCGGGCGTAGAAATATCTCCTTCAGATAATTTAAAACCTTCAGAGTAAATATTTAAACGTAATATATATGTATATATATATATATATATATTAAATTATATATATATATATATATAAATATATATTATATATATATATATATATTTTATATTATATATATTCTCTAATTGTATTGTCAGACTTAAAATAATTGTGTTATGATCTAGTGTACGATAACATTTACGCCAGTAGTACCTTCAGGTTATCCTGGATGACGGACGTACGAAGTTTGCCTTTATACAATTAAGGCGTAAAATACATAGGTTAAAAGAATAAGTAAATGATTTAAAATAATGAATAAAAGACCTACTCGATTACATTCTCGTTCATATATGTTAAGGACCACAATGGAAATAAGTCACTCTGTCTAACTTTTCTGGTTTATCCCAGGTTGTCTACACATATGCTGCTATGTATGATAATTCTATTTAACTGTATTTGTGTATACCTGAATAAACTTACTTAAATGTATGAGAGTGTAATAACATTTTTGCGGCTGGCACCACCAGGTTATCATGGGTGGCGGACGTCAGAAGTTAACACCTAAGCACGTAGACGACCCTGAAGGCGGCGACGGAGGGAAGAGAGATGACGATAAGAATCTCATAGAAACTTGGATCAACCAGAAAAATCTCCTTGGTAATGCCTCCTACGTCTGGCACCGCAACGACCTCCTCGCCGTCGACACTACCAACACTGAATACCTCATGGGTAAGGTTGTCGTACTGCAAATATGTCCTCACTTATTTACTACATTAATTTAAAAATCACGTGATTCCAAACGTAAATTTCTGAATGTTCTTGTAAATTAACAAAGATTGTTTAACTTAAAAACAAATTTTAAAACATTTAAAAACTAAAAGCCCAAATGCGTCTGGCAACGGGGTGGCCGTGCGTACCCTAACCTATCCTAAATTTGCTTAAAAAAGTATCATCGAAAACAGAGATCGTTGGAAAAATGACGTTCTAGTAAAAGACAAACCAATCTTACATTATAAATAAAGGAATGATATATAATGTAGGACTGAGATATGTGAGAACTTGTCATGTGAGTGATAATTAATAAATAAAACGTGATATAAACAATAAAATGTGATAATAAAACGAGTAATCAATACATAAGAGTAATCATACATAAAACGAGTAATCAATACATAAAACGAGTAATCAATACATAAAACGAGCAATTAACAAATAAAAAAGTTTTTTCATACGCTGGCACCCACAACTACTGTCACGAGTCACGCTGCCAAACGCACAACCTCACAGTTAATGTATGGAATATTGTGTTTACCTCCACCGTCAATGTTAATGACCAGTTCTCACTATGTTAATTATCACATAGAACAGCACACTGCTGATGTATCCAGTTCTGTTTAATATATAGATTAAATAGGGGTATCTAAGCTGATATTAGGGGTATCTAAGTGATATTAGGGTATCTAAGCTGATAATAGGGTTATCTAACTGATATTTGGGGTATCTAAGCTGATAATAGGGTTATCTAAGCTGATAATAGGGTTATCTAAGCTGATAATAGGGGTATCTAAGCTGATAATAGGGTTATCTAAGCTGATAATGGGATATCTAAGCTGATAATAGGGTTACTAAGTTGATAATAGGGTTTATCTAAGCTGATAATAGGTTATCTAAGCTGATAATAGGGTTATCTAAGCTGTAATTGGGTTATCTAAGCTGATAATAGGGTTATCTAAGCTGATAATAGGGTTATCTAAGCTGATAATAGGGTTATCTAAGCTGATAATAGGGTTATCTAAGCTGATAATAGGGTTATCTAAGCTGATAATAGGGTTATCTAAGCTGATAATAGGGTTATCTAAGCTGATAATAGGGTTATCTAAGCTTATAATGGGGTTATCAAAACTTATAATTGGGTTATCTAAGCTTATAATGGGGTTATCTAAGCTTATAATGGGTTATCAAAACTTATAATTGGGTTATCTAGCTTATATGGGTTATCTAATTAAATGGGGTTATCAAAACTTATATTGTTATCTAAGCTCATTAAAAGGGTTATCTAAGCTTATGATAGAGTTATCATAGCTTATAATAGAGCTATCAAAGCATATAATAGGGTTATCTAAGCTTATAATAGGGTTATTTAAGCTTATAATAGGGTTATCAAAGCTTATAATAGTTATCAAAGGTTATTCCTTGAGTAACACTGATAATGGGTTGGGCAAATATTTTTGTTAGTGGGTTTAGCTTTGAGAAGAACCTGCCTATCATGGGCCAGTAGGCCTGCTGCAGTGCTCCTCCATTCTTACGACATCATAACCATTTAACAAACTGTGTAAAGTAAAAGGACACAAGTGCAACTAATGTGACATTTTATTGTGGCAACGTTTCGCTCTCCAGTCAATGCAGGGGTTTACACTATACCCTGTGGAGGCTGTGACAAGATTTACGTAGGTGAAACAGCAAGAAACCTCGACACCCGCCTCAATGTTCACATTTACGCATGTAGGAACGATAGCTTGAACAACACCTGTGTACAACACCGATATTCCACCAATCATCTCATGAAATTCAGAGACGCCCAATTAGTGATCAAAGAAACTAATTTCCGCAGACGCAAGTGCCTCGAATCAGCACTGATCGCTGTTTCGAATACAATTAAACAAAACAACGGCAGCTTCACCATCTCCGAAGTCTTAGCAAGAATCCTCCTGAAAACAGTAAACCCTGCCATCACATAGTCTCTCCTGTTATACTACACAAAGCACATTACAGAGAGTGAACACTGAAACAAGCTGCATTTTCCAGTCTATATTTGTCCAACCTATTTTTATGTTACCCCAAGTAATAGCTTTTGTATTTATTAATTGCTCTACCATATTGTATTACTTTTGTCCTACTATACTACTACATACTACTACTACTACTACCACTACTACTACTACTACACTACTACCTACACTACTACTACCCACTACCACTAGTATTGCACCTCACTCTGAGCCTTTATATACCCTCTGTGTCCATGTAATAGTTTGTAATGGCTTGATAAAGCTCCTGGAGAGCGAAACGTTGCCACAATAACACGTCACATTAGTTGCACTTGTCTCCTTTTACTTTACATATTGTCGGTAATTCTACCAAGTTTATTACATTTAACAAACTACCATTAACAAGGGTTGTTCGACTGGGGTCACATGGGCTTCAAAGTGGACAATGACGTCAGCAACCCGTCCCTCAGAGAGATGACCAAAACTGCCATAGAGATTCTTCAGAAGGATACCAATGGTTATTTTCTCTTCGTGGAAGGTAATGTTTGTTGAACTTTAATGTTTGTTGGTTGGGGGCTGATGTTTGTTGGTTGGGGGGGTGTTTGTTGGTTGGGGCTGATGTATGTTGGTTGGGGTGACGTTTGTTGGTTGGGTGGTGTTTGTTGGTTGGGGTGGTGTTTGTTGGTTGGGGCTGATGTTTGTTGGTTGGGGCTGATGTTTGTTGGTTGGGGTGGTGTTGTTTTGGGTTTGGGGGTTATATTCGTTGGTTGGGTTGATTTTTTGTTGGTTGGGACTGATTTTGTTGGGTTGGGGTGGTGTTTGTTGGTTGGGACTGATGTTTGTTGGTTGGGGCGATATTTGTTGGTTGGGGGTGATATTTGTTGGTTGGGGCTGATGTTTGTTGGTTGGGGTGGTGTTTGTTGGTTGGGGCTTATGTTCGTTGGTTGGGGGGATGTTTGTTGGTTGGGGGTGATGTTTGTTGGTTGGGGTGGGGTTTGTGGTTGGGACTGATGTTTGTTGGTTGGGGCTGATATTTTGTTGGTTGGGCTGATATTTGTTGGTTTGGGGGTGGATGTTTGTTGGTTTGGGGCTGATGTTTGTTGGTTGGGCTGATGTTTTGTTGGTTGGGGGTGATATTTTTTTGGTTTGGGGCTGATGTTTATTGGTTGGGGCTGACGTTTGTTGGTTGGGCTGATGTTTATTGGTTGGGGCTGACATTTTTGGTTGGGGGTGATGTTTATTGGTTGGGCTGACGTTTGTTGGTTGGGGCGATTTTTATTGGTTGGGGCTGACGTTTGTTGGGGTTGGGGGTGATGTTTATTGGTTGGGGGTGATGTTTTATTGTATGTTGGATGGTACTGATGTCATAAGTATATTTAGGCCTAGGTACACATACTCCAGGTATGTGCGCCTATGCCTAAACACACATACTTAAACATTGTCTTTGATGCCTGCAGGAGGTAAAATCGATCTGGCCCACCACCTGAACGAGTAAAAGGTCGGCCCTGGAGGAGGCGGTGGAGTTCGAGGCTGCTATTTTAGCAAGCCCGTGAGCATGACCCGGGCCCTCAGGAGACACTGATCCTGGTTACTGCAGACCCCTCACAGCCCATAGTCATGAATGGTTACCAGGAGAGGGGCTCTGATGTGCTGGGTGAGTG